CACATTTGTATATAATTTCTGAGAACAAGTTAACACACCTTGAAGTGACAAAGAGCTCTTGAGAAAGACATTTAACAGTCTGTAGCACTATGAATGTGTTTGAAGCAGAACTGCAGTGAAACAGTGCCTTCAGAAAGTATTCACACCCCTTGACTTTTTCCACATTTTGTTGTGTAACAGCCTGAAAATTTTTTTGTCACTGGCCTACACACAATATCCCATAATGTCAAAGTGGAATTATGTTTTTTGAAATGTTTACAAATTAATAAAAATATAAAAAGCTGAAATGTCTTGAGTCAAAAAAGTATTCAACCCCATTGTTATGGCAAGCCTAAATACAGTGCATTCAGAAAGTATTCAGACCCCTTCCCTTTTTCCACATTTTGTTAAGTTACAGCCTTATTCTAAAATTGATTAAATTATTTTTTCCCTCATCAATCTACACACAATACCCCATAATGACAAAGAAAAACTGGTTTTTATAAATTTTTGCAAATTTATTATAAATAAAAAACAGAAATATCACATTTACATATGTATTCAGACCCTTTACTCAGTACATTGTTGAAGCACATTTGGCAGCGATCTGGGGAAGGGTACCAAAACATTTCTGCAGCATTGAAGGTCCCCAAGAACACAGTGGCCTCCATCATTCTTAAATGGAAGAAGTTTGCAACCACCAAGACTCTTCCTAGAGCTGGCCGCCAGGCCAAACTGAGCAATCGGGGGAGAAGGGCCTTGGTCAGGGAGGTGACCAAGAACCCGATGGTCACTCTGACAGAGCTCCAGAGTTCCAATGAGAACCTTCCAGAAGGACAACCATCTCTGCAGCACTCCACCAATCAGGCCTTTATGGTAGAGTGACCAGACGGAAGCCACTCCTCAGTAAAAGGCATGACAGCCCGCTTAGAGATTGCCAAAAGGCACCTAAAGGACTCCCAGACCATGAGAAACAAGATCCTCTGGTCTGATGAAACCAAGATTAAACTCTTAGGCCTGAATGCCAAGCATCACATCTGGAGGAAACCTGGTACGCATGGTGGTGGCAGCATCATGCTGTGGGGATGTTTTTCAGTGGCAGGGACTGGGAGACTAGTCAGGATTGAGGGAAAGATGAACAGAGCAAAGTACAGAGAGATCCTTGATGAAAACCTGCTCCAGAGCTCTCAGGACCTCAAACTGGGGTGAAGGTTCACCTTCCAACAGGACAATGACCCTAAGCACAAAGCCAAGACAACGCAGGAGTGGCTTCAGGACAATTCTCTGAATGTCCTTGAGTGGCCCAGCCAGAGCCCGGACTTGAACCCGATCGAACATCGAAAATAGCTGTTCAGCAACGCTCCCCATCCAACCTGACAGAGCTTGAAAGGATCCGCAGACAAGAAATGGGAGAAACTCCCCAAATACAGGTGTGTCAGGCTTGTAGCGTCATACCCAAGAAGACCTGAGGCTGTAATCGCTTCCAAAGGTGCGTCAACAAAGTGTCTGAATACTTACGTAAATGTGATATTTCCGTTTTTAATTTGTAATATATTTGCAAACATTTCTAAAAACCTGTTTTTGCTTTGTAGATTGATGAAGGGGAAAACAACTATTTTAGAATAAGGCTGTAACGTAACAAATTGTGGAAAAAGTCAAGGGGTCTGAATACTTTCCCAATGCACTGTAAGTCCAGCAGTAAAGATGTGCTTAACAAGTCACATAATAAATTACATGGACTCACTCTGTGTGCAATAATAGTGTTAAACATGATTTGTGCTTAACATGACCCCCCACATTACAATTATCTGTAAGTTCCCTCAGTCGAGCAGTGAATTTCAAACACAGATTCAACCACAAAGACCAGGGAGGTTTCCCAGTGCCTCGCAAAGAAGGGCACCTTTTGGTAGAAGGGTAAAAAAAAAAAGCAGACATTGAATATCCCTTTGAGCATGGTGAAATTATTAATTACACTTTGGATGGTGTATCAATACACCCAGTCACTACAAAGACACAGGCGTCCTTCCTAACTCAGTTGCTGGAGAGGAAGGAAACTGCTCAGGGATTTCACCATGAGGCCAATGGTGACTTTAAAACAGTTAGATTTTATTGCTGTGATGGGAGAAAACTGAGGATGGATCAACAGCATTGTAGTTACTCCACAATACTAACCTAAATGACAGTTAAAAGAAGGAAGCCTGTACAGAAATAAAATATTCCAAAACACGCATCTTGTTTGCGACAAGGCACTAAAGTAATACTGCAAAAAATGTGGCAAAGCAATTCACTTTTTGTCCTGAATACAAAGTGTTATGTTTGGGGCAAATCCAATACAACACATTACTGAGTACCACTCTCCATATTTTGAAGCATAGTTGTGGCTGCATCATGTTATGGGTATGCTTGTAATCATTAAGGACTAGGGAGTTTTTCAGGATAAAAAAGAAACGGAACTAAGCACAAATAAAATCCTAAAGGAAAACCTGGTACAGTCTGCTTTCCACCAGACACTGGGAGACTAGAGGAAACCCTGGTTCAGTCTGCTTTCCACCAGACACTGGGAGACTAGAGGAAAACCTGGTTCAGTCTGCTTTCCACCAGACACTGGGAGACTAGAGGAAAACCTGGTTCAGTCTGCTTTCCACCAGACACTGGGAGACTTGAGGAAAACCTGGTTCAGTCTGCTTTCCACCAGACACTGGGAGACTAGAGGAAAACCTGGTTCAGTCTGCTTTCCACCAGACACTGGGAGATGAATTCACCTTTCAGCAGGACAATAACCTACAACACAAGGCCAAATCTACACTGGAGCTGCTTACCAAGAAGACAGTGAATGTTCTTGAGTGGCCGAGTTACAGTTTTGACTTAAATCTGTATGAAAATCTATGGCAAGACTTGAAAATGGTTGTCTAGCAATGATCAACAACCAATTTTGTTGAGCTTGAAGAATTTTGAAAAGAATAATGGGCAAATATTGTATAATCCAGGTGTGGAAAGCTCTTAGAGAAGTTCCTAGAAAGACTCACTGCTGCAATTGCTGCCAACGGTGATTCTAACATGTATTGACTCAGGGGTGCGAATAATTATGTAAATTATATATTTCTGTATTTCATTTTCAATACATTTGCCAACATTTCTAAAACCATGTTTTCACTTTTTCATTATGGGGTATTGTATGTAGATGGGTGAGAAAAACATATATTTCATCCATTTTGAATTCAGACTGTAACAAACCAAACGTGGAATAAGTCACGGGGTATGAATACTTTCTGAAGGCACTGTAATTACCTAAATATAACTAATACTAAGGCAAACAGGTCCCTTCGCATCTGGACCTAAATATAACTAATACTAAGGCAAACAGGTCCCTTCGCATCTGGACCTAAATATAACTAATACTAAGGCAAACAGGTCCCTTCGCATCTGGAAACCCAACATCAAAATGACGGACATACAGTATTCTACATAGAGTACAGCTTGACATTAAATTAAACAAACTTAACACATCACTCAGCATTTAAACAGACAAAATGGAGGTTTAGTTAACCTGGCAGTCTTGTCTCTCTCTGTCTAAATAGGATAATGAGGTGTGAGACTAAACATGAATTAGTCCATTTAGGTCAAAGTAATGAACCATCCAGTATCTCTTACCATAAGTGGTTGCAACAGCAGGTCATCACGTTCCATTGCTACAGTATGTAAATATACATGAATATACATTTTCCGATAAACAAACACTTCACATGGAATAACAGTCAAGACAAACCCAGTGGCTGTGAAGCTACTGCCCTTTCATACGCCTCCAATTATAATAAATAATAATTATGAGACAAAGGCCCAGATTCCCTTTCATAAAACACCTCTCTCTTCAATATGACTTCATCCCTCTTATCTCTCCCAGAGCCAAATGGAACGGTCTGAAACACTCTCTCCTGCTCTGTTTATAATCAGGATGACAGCAGGTCAACTCTGTCCCCTATAAACCCAGTTAACACTCTCAGCTTCATAGCGTTGTAGTGTGACTGTACCGAATGCTCCATGACGTTGTAGTGTGGCTGTACTGAATGCTCCATAGCGTTGTAGTGTGACTGTACTGGGTGCTCCATAGCGTTGTAGTGTGACTGTACTGAATGCTCCATAGCGTTGTAGTGTGACTGTACTGGGTGCTCCATAGCGTTGTAGTGTGACTGTCCTGGATGCTCCATAGCGTTGTAGTGTGACTGTACTGGATGCTCCATGACGTTGTAGTGTGACTGTACTGGATGCTCCATGACGTTGTAGTGTGACTGTACTGAATGCTCCATGACGTTGTAGTGTGACTGTACTGGATGCTCCATAGCGTTGTAGTGTGACTGTCCTGGATGCTCCATGACGTTGTAGTGTGACTGTACTGGATGCTCCATAGCGTTGTAGTGTGACTGTACTGGATGCTCCATGACGTTGTAGTGTGACTGTCCTGGGTGCTCCATAGCGTTGTAGTGTGACTGTACTGGATGCTCCATAGCGTTGTAGTGTGACTGTACTGGATGCTCCATGACGTTGTAAGTGTGACTGTCCTGATGCTCATGACGTTGTAGTGTGACTGTACTGGATGCTCCATAGCGTTGTAAGTGTGACTGACTGGGTGCTCCCTAGCGTTGTAGGTGGCTGTACCCGATCTCCTAGCATTTGTAGTGTGACTGTACCTGTAATGCTCCCATTAACGATTGTAGGGTGGCGGGTACTGGATGCCTCCATTAGCGTTGTAGTGTGACTGTCACTGGATGCTCCATAGCGTTGTAGTGTGACTGTACTGGATGCTCCATAGCGTTGTAGTGTGACTGTCCTGGATGCTCCATAGCGTTGTAGTGTGACTGTCCTGGATGCTCCATAGCGTTGTAGTGTGACTGTCCTGGATGTCATGGAATCTCCTGCACAAGACATTTCTTTCCAAGCTCTGAAGTGTGGAATCAAACTCTGGGGACGAGGTTAGATGTCATGAAAACTGTCCTTGCCAAACCTCCTAAACGCCGATCACGGTCTCATCGAGTACGGTGGTTTCTTCTCTGAGGGACAGCTGCTGCTCTCTGTCCAGTTGGTCTACGGTTGTTGCTACCATTGAGTCGGGGGTGGGGCTTGCGTCTGAGCAGGAAGAGGCGGTGCGCGGCGGCGCGGTACTTCCTGGACATGAGGTTATAGAGGACAGGGTTGATGGAGGCGCTGAGGTAACAGAGGACCATGGAGCCTATGTTGAAGTCCTGGCTCAGTTTAGCCTCATCATAGTCATCCACCTGGGCAAACAGGTTCCGTCCAATGTGGTACGGCAACCAACAGATCACAAACGCCAGGACTACTACCACTGGTGGAGGATGAGGGAGGAGAGAGAGAACGAGAGAGAGAAAGATGTTAGGGTTAGAGCTATGCAACCATGTGGTTCCATAATTTAAAAAAAAGTAAAGGGCCCAAAACTGATCCTTGTGGTACACCAAATATATTTGAACTTTAAAGTGATGGGAGGATTTGTCATTCATATGAACAAATTGATACCTGTGGACTTCTCTTAAAAAACTTAAACCATGCCTGTCCACGGATCCCAACAAGAGTTTCCAATCTCTCTAAACATGTGTGTGGTGATCAGATACAGTCAGGTCCATAAGTATTTGGACAGTGACACAATTTGCATAATTCTGGCTCTGTATGCCACCACAATGGATGTGAAAGCAAACAATCAAGATGTGCTTCAAGTGTAGACTTTCATCTTTAATTTAAGGGTTTTGTCAATATTATTGTACGAACCGTGTAGGAATTACAACCATTTTTATACACAGCCCCCCAATTTTAGGGGCTCGAAAGTAATTGGACAAACTAACATAATCATAAATTAAATTGTGAGTTTTAATACTTGGTTGACTTCGACACAGATACTCCTACCTCCTGGAGGGTGTTCTTGATCTGGACAACTGTTGTGAACAGGTTTTTACTTCACCAGGGAAGTAATGATTCTGTCATTCCACGACAGTTGTTTTCCGTGGTCTTCCGGGCCTTTTGGTGTTCCTGAGCTCACCAGTGCGTTTTCTCTTTTTAAGAAAGTACCAAATAGTTGATTTGGCCAGCTAATGTTTTTGCTACCTCTGTGATGGGTTTGTTTTGATTTTCAGCCTAATGATGGCTTGCTTCACTGGCAGTGACAGCTCTTTGGACTTCATATTGAGGGTTAACAGCAACAGATTCCAAATGCAAATACCACACTTGAAATCATCTCTAGCCCTTGTATTCTGAAGTAATAACACACACCTGGCCATGGAACAGCTGAGCAGCCAATTGTCCAATTACTTTTGGTCCCTTAAAAAGAGGGGTACCACATATAGAAGTGTTGTAATTTCTACACCGTTCACCCGATTTGGATGTAAATACCCTCAAATTAAAGCTGAAAGTCTGCACTTTCAGCTTATATTCCTTATTTAATTTCAACTCCAATATGCTGTGGTAGACAGCTAAAATAATAACTTGGTCAATGTCCAAATATTGATGGACCTGACTGTATATCACTGAGATTGAGGAGCACTAGAGGGATGATATGTGCTGGTCAGGTACAGTGGGTTGTGAAAGTATTCACCCCCCTTGGCATTTTTCCAATTTTGTTGCCTTACAACCTGGAATTAATATGGATTTTATGGGGGTTTGTATCATTTGATTTACACAACAAGCCTACCACTTTGAAGATGCAATTTTTATTTATTTAAATAAGACCAAAAAACAGAAAACTTTAGCGTGCATAACTATTCACCCCCCCCCCAAAGTCAATACTTTGTAGAGCCACCTTTTGTAGCAATTACAGCTGCAAGTCTCTATAAGCTTGAAACATCTAGCCACTAGGATTTTTGCCCATTCTTCAAGGCAAAACTGCTCCAGCTCCTTCATGTTGGATGGGTTCCGCTGGTGTATAGCAATCTTTAAGTCATACCACAGATTCTCAATTGGATTGAGGTCTGGGCTTTGACTAGGCCATTCCAAGACATTTACATGTTTCCCCTTAAACCACTCTAGTGTTGCTTTAGCATTATGCTTAGGGTCATTGTCCTGCTGGAAGGTGAACCTCCGTCCCAGTCTCAAATCTCTGGAAGACTGAAACAGGTTTCCCCTCAAGAATTTCCCTGTATTTAGCGCCATCCATCAATCTTTGAATTCTGACCAGTTTCCCAGTCCCTGCCGATGAAAAACATCCACACAGCATGATGCTGCCACCACCATGCTTCACTGTGGGGATGGTGTGCTCGGGGTGATGAGAGGTGTTTTGGTTTGCGCCAGACAGAGCGTTTTCCTTGATGGCCAAAAAGCTCAATTTTAGTCTCATCTGACCAGAGTACCTTCTTCCATATGTTTGGGGAGTCTCCCACATGCCTTTTGGCGAACACCAAACGTGTTTGCTTATTTTTTTCTTGAAGCAATGGCTTTTTTTCTGGCCACTCTTCCGTAAAGCCCAGCTCTGTGGAATGTATGGCTTAAAGTGGTCCTATGGACAGATACTCCAATCTCCGCTATGGAGCTTTGCAGCTCCTTCAGGGTTCTCTTTGGTCTCTTTGTTGCCTCTCTGATTAATGCCCTCCTTGCCTGTTCTGTGAGTTTTGGTGGGCGGCCCTCTCTTGGCAGGTTTGTTGTGGTGCTATATTTTTCCATTTTTTAATAATGGATTTAATGTTGCTCCGTTGGATGTTCAAAGTTTCCCCAAAATGTTTTTACCCAACACTGATCTGTACTTCTCCACAACTTTGTCCCTGACTTGTTTGGAGAGCTCCTTGGTCTTCATGGTGCCGCTTGCTTGGTGGTGCCCCTTGCTTAGTGGTGTTGCAGACTCTGGGGCCTTTCAGAACAGGTGTATATATGCTGTGATCATGTGACAGATAATGTGACACTTAGATTGCACACAGGTGGACATTATTTAACTAATTATGAGACTTCTGAAGGTAATTGGTTGCACCAGATCTTGTTTAGGGGCTTCATTGCAAAGGGGGTGAATACATATGCACACACTACTTTTCCGTTACTTATTTTGTATAATTATTTGAAACAAATAATTTTTTTCATTTCACTTCACCAATTTTGACTATTTTGTGTATGTCCATTACATGAAATCCAAATAAAAATCCATTTAAATTACAGGTTGTAATGCAACAAAATAGGAAAAAGGCCAAGGGGGATGAATACATTTGTAAGGCGCTGTATATCACTGAGATTGAGGAGCACTAGAGGTATATACACTCCTTGACCAAAAGTATGTGGACGCCTGCTCGTCGAACAGCTCATTCCAAAATCATGGGCATTAACATGGAGTTGGTCCCCCCCTTTGCTGCTATAACAGCCTCCACTCTTCTGGGAAGGCTTTCCACTAGATGTTGGAACATTGTTGAGAGGACGTGCTTCCATTCAATCACAAGCGCATTAGTGAGGTCGGGCACTGATGTTGGGCGATTAGGCCTGGCTCGCAGTCAGCGTTCCAATTAATCCCAAAGGTGTTCGATGGGGTTGAGGTCAGGGCTCTGTGCAGGCCAGTCAAGTTCTTTCTGTATGGACCTCGCTTTGTACACGGGGGCATTGTCATGCTGAAACAGGAAAGGGCCTTCCCCAAACTGTTGCCACAAAGTTGGAAGCACAGAATCGTCTAGAATGTCATTGCATGCTGTAGCGTTAAGATTTCCCTTCACTGGAACTAAGGGGCCTAGCCCGAAACATGAAAAACAGCCCCATACCATTATTCCTCCTCCATCAAACCTTACAGTTGGCACTGAGCATAGGGCAGGTAGCGTTTTCCTGGCATCCGCCAAACCCAGATTCATCTGTCGGACTGCCAGATGGTGAAGTGTGATTAATCACTCCAGAGAACGCGTTTCCACTGTCCCAGAGTCCAATGGCGGCGAGCTTTACACCACTCCAGCCGACACTTGACATTGCGCATGGTGATCTTAGGTTTGTGTGCAGCTGCTCGGCCATGGAAACCCATTTCATGAAGCTCCCGACGAACAGTTCTTGTGCTGACGCTGCTTCCAGAGGCAGTTTGGAACTCGGTGGTGAGTGTTGCAACCAAGGACAGATTATTTTTACGTGCTACGCGCTTCAGTACTCGGCGATGCCGTTCTGTGAGCTGTGGCATTCCATTTTGCGGCTGAGTCATTGTTGCTCCTAGACGTTTCCACTTCACAATAACAGCACTTACAGTTGACCGGGGCAGCTCTAGCAGGGCAGACATTTGACGAACTGACTTGTTGGGAAGTTGGCATCCTATGACGCTGCCACGTTGAAAGTCACTGAGCTCTTCAGTACGGGCCATTCTACTGCCAATGTTTGTCTATGGAGATTGCATGGCGGTGTGCTCGATTTTATACACCTGTCAGCAACGGGTGTGGCTGAAATAGCCGAATCCACTAGTCGGAAAGGCGGTGATTTAGATCCGGTGATGTACGGGGAGCATGAAAAGAAAATCCCCATTATCTCTGATTAATGAGTCACTTTGACGATAATCCAATTTGTGGACTCAAAAAGCTGGCGACATGGTCTCTGCTGTGCACTGTGGTTGTCCAGCTAATTAATATAAAAGCAGATACAGTAAATATTGACAGGCTACCGATGAAGACGACAGGACTACAAATCAAGGACTACAAATCAAGTTTATAGGCTACGTAGGCGGTCAATGGACATCATTTGTTCTACTAAACAGGCTTTTAGTGTCATTTTTAGGTCACACCCTTTCTGCTTGCAGTGAACTGTTAATATCACCAACGATTTGGCTGGAAGCCATCATCAGGGTTTTGTTCTGACATTAAAAAGAAGCTTATACCACAGCATTGTTTAATACTCATTTCTGATTAGCTAGAAAGGCCTTCTAGAATGAACATTAAAACCAGTTATACCCATGGTATTGTTGAATACTAGTTTCTGATTGGCTTTAAGGGCATTCTAGAGCGTGCATTATTTAAGTGATAATGCCCGAGATGGCGGTGTTTGGAGGATATGTTGCCATGGGTGTGACGAAGTCGAGGGCCGGCAAACCGTGCCAATATATCCTCCAAACACTGACTTCAAGGGCAGTTGTTAAGTCTTTTTGTTCTGTATCTATGGACGCGACCCAGTCGGTCAGTCTTTTTGTTCTGTATCTATGGACGCGACCCAGTCGTTCAGTCTTTTTGTTCTGTATCTATGGACGTGACCCAGTCGGTCAGTCTTTTTGTTCTGTATCTATGGACGTGACCCAGTCGGTCAGTCTTTTTGTTCTGTATCTATGGACGTGACCCAGTCGGTCAGTCTTTTTGTTCTGTATCTATGGACGTGACCCAGTCGGTCAGTCTTTTTGTTCTGTATCTATGGGCGCGACCCAGTCGGTCAGTCTTTTTGTTCTGTATCTATGGACGCGACCCAGTCGTTCGTTCTAAATGTTCCATTGCCATACTGGCTGGTAACGTTCTTATCCCATGTTTGCTAGCTAGCCAACTACGGCTAACTTACAGTCACGTCAAAAAGTGCGGCCAGAATAACAGCAAAGTAGCTGAATTTGCATTTGTTTAAGCTGTTTTCTAGTGACATTTATTTGGACACATCCATAACAATGAGCTGATGGTTCCCGATTTCGCCTGGCATAGAAAATGTGCTCTCTCGTCAGGACACTGTTGTCCAGAGGAGCTAGCCAACAACACAGCTAACATAATCACTTCAAACTGAAGCTGGAAAGACTGCAAACTAGCTGCACTTCGTTTCGTTGTACCTTTTTTTCAATTGACATTTCTTTGTATATATCCATAAAAATGATACCAGCTGATTCATGATTTCGATATAATGGGTGGGTCTATAAATGTCATATCGGGACAGTTGGAAAAGATATTGAAACACCTTGCAATCATGACAATATGCGCCTACACATGCAGGCCTTACTTGCTACAAATATATATATATATATATTTGTTACTTGCTACAAAGTTACCGAATGCTAAACCAACAAGCACACAAACGGAAATTTGATACATTGTAAACGCAGGTCAAAGGAAGAAAAACTTAGCTAGCTAGCTACCAATTGAATGATTTTTGCAGGGACATATTTCTTTGGAGCATCTGATGGTGACCTAACACGGTGAGTGATGAACGGGAATTTCACCTAACACGGTGAGTGACGAACGGGAATTTCACCTAACACGGTGAGTGACGAACGGGAATTTCACCTAACACGGTGAGTGATGAACGGGAATTTCACCTAACACGGTGAGTGATGAACGGGAATTTCACCTAACACGGTGAGTGACGAACGGGAATTTCTCCGGTCCCTACTGTCGTTATGACGCAACTGGCGCCAATATGTCAAATCCTCCCACATTACATTTCTAGTTTAACCAGCTGTTTTCAGCAACTGATATTTTTTTAATTCGGTTGTTTGCTAGCGATAAACTGTTTAGCTAGCTTCTAGCCTAGTGTTTGATATGCAAATCGGGCACCATCAGTTCATTGCTATGGATGTATCCAAATGCATGTCAATAGAAAACAGCTTAAACAAACGCAAATGCAGCTACTTTGCTGTTGTTCTGGCTGCAGAGGACGTGACTGTGTTTATCCCTTACACAATCACATGCATAAAACTATCTTGACAGACAGCAGGACACACTATGGAGACTGGACTGTGTTATGTGACAGACAGCAGGACACACTATGGAGACTGGACTGTGTTATGTGACAGACAGCAGGACACACTATGGAGACTGGACTGTGTTATGGACACACTATGGAGACTGGACTGTGTTATGGACACACTATGGAGACTGGACTGTGTTATGGACACACTATGGAGACTGGACTGTGTTATGTGACAGACAGCAGGACACACTATGGAGACTGGACTGTTATGTGACAGACAGCGGACACACTATGGAGACTGGACTGTTATGTCTAGTGGTGGATGAAGCTGTGCACTCTAAAACAACTAGAATTAATAGTATATATTAAACCAAATGTACTTTAGTTAATATAAAACTGTGTCTTGCTGCTGGATTTAAATATGTCTGTCCGTTATATCACTTCAAAAGTAGCGTTAACAACCTATATTTCCAATTGATTTAACACAGTGTTTTATGTTTCAAGAAAATTAATGACAGGGTAAAGTGGGTCCTGAATAGGGTTGCAAAATAAATGTCAATAAATTCCCTGGTTTTCCAGAACTCCCGGTTGGTTTCCCTGAATCAGGAGGGAAATAAACAGAATCCTCCAACCAGGATTTCTGGAAAACCAGAAAGTTCCCAGAATTTTAGAACACTAGTCCTGAAGTACCATCATTTCCTCCTGTAGGCAAAGACTTCAACACATTTGACCTCAAGACACTTCAAATTATGACTATAAAAAAAAAAACAGAGGGCATCTTGACGGTCACTCACCCAGTATTTTGACGGTCTGTCTATGCGACCTCTCCCGGGCCACGGCATTGGGACCCTGCAGGTCATTCTTACTCTTCCACAGCTTCCGTCCAATGGAGCCGTACAGGAAAACCAGGCAGAACATGGGGCAGAAGAAATACGTCGTGGACACCCAGATCATTGTGTGCAGCTGCCCTGACCTGATGGCGTAGTTCGTGTGTTTACACTGTCTTGTGCTGTAGTCCGGGTACGTTTCGTTGTCATACTCCACCCCCACCAGAAACAGCATGGGGGCAGCAGAGAGCAGAGCAAAGGTCCATAGAGCCATAATGATGTACTGGACCCTGCGTTTGGTCACCACGACTTTAGCTCTGAGGGGGAAACAGATGGCCAGGTATCGCTCCATGCTGAGCGCGGTGATGTGGAGGATGGTGGCGTACGTACAGCCTTCATTGACATAGTGGAACAGATGACACACCACCTCCCCAAACACCCAGGGGACGTACTTCCACAGGCGGTAGAGGTCAAAGGGCAGGCAGAGGAAGATGAGGAGGTCGGACACAGCCATGGAGGACAGGTACAGGTTGGTGGTGGTCTTCATATCCTTGAAGCGCTAGGTGGAAAAAGAAGAACAAGAATATTTAATTAATCCATTTAATGCTTAAAATTGCCGGGCCCATTTCAGACCTGTCTGACGTGGAATTCAAACTGGCAACCTTTTGGAGCTTCTCCATCCCCCCATTGTATGGTTCTCTAACCCGCTTCCTTACCTGGATGATGAGGATAGTCATGGTGTTTCCCAACACACCGACCAGGAAGAGGAGGATACAGATGATGGTAACAGGGATGAGGATGGAGGTGGGGAACAGGGAGCCTTCATAGTGGTGGTCATCATCATTCATGTTGTCTGCAGGCCGGGGGGGTGGGAGGAGCTCCGACTGGGGTCTGGACCACGGCATCAGGAGAGACTGACTGGCTACAGGAGAGCGAGAGAGCGCGTGCGAGAGAGAGAGAGAGAGAGAGAGAGAGAGAGGCGAGGGGACTAGATAGAGAGAGAGAGAGATAGAGAAGGGAGGAGAGAGAGAGGGAGAGAGAGTGAGAGAGAGGATAGGAGGAGAGAGAGATAAGAGAGAGAGACGGGAGAGAGGAGAGGAGAGAGAGAGAGAGAGAGAAGAGAGAGGAAGGAGAGAGAGAGAGAGAGAGAGGAGAGAGAGAGAGAGGAGGGAGAGAGGAGGGAGAGGGAGAGGGAGAGAGAGAGAGAGAAGAGAGAGAAGGATGTCTTCCTATGGGACAGGTCTCTGTTGAGAAATAGATTTTTAATCTCAGCAATGTTGATCAATAAATTATTCATCTTAAAACTCACTGGCACAGAAATCAACAAGTAATTAAAATGTGAAGAGGCCAAACAGGGTTACAAAAACCAACATTGAGATAATCTTCTAGTCTGAACATTTATTTCATTATCAATTGTGACTTTTACCTCTGAAGTTAATCCTGTGTTTTCTATGCTCTGTAGAGCCGGTTCTCTGTCCCTGGTGCCGTGTGTCCAGTCCTTAGAGACGGTTCTCTGTCCCTGGTGCCGTGTGTCTAGTCTTTAGAGACGGTTCTCTGTCCCTGGTGCCGTGTGTCCAGTCCTTAGAGACGGTTCTCTGTCCCTGGTGCAGTGTGTCCAGTCCTTAGAGACGGTTCTCTGTCCCTGGTGCCGTGTGTCTAGTCCTTAGAGACGGTTCTCTGTCCCTGGTGCCGTGTGTCCAGTCCTTAGAGACGGTTCTCTGTCCCTGGTGCCGTGTGTTCAGTCCTTAGAGACGGTCTCTGTCCCTGGGCTGCCGTGTGTCCAGTCCTTAGAGGACGGTTCTCTGTCCCTGGTGCCGTTGTGTCTAGTCCTTAGAGACGGTTCTCTGTCCCTGGTTGCCGTTGTGTCTAGTCCTTAAGACGGTTCTCTGTCCCTGGTGCCGTGTGCTCCAGTCCTTAGAGACGGTTCTCTGTCCCTGGTGCCGTGTGTCTCAGTCCTTAGAGACGGTTCTCTGTCCCTGGTGCCGTGTGTCTAGTCTTAGAGACGGTTCTCTGTCCCTGGTGCAGTGTTGTAAGGCAACTTGAGAAAGACAAGAGTTCTAGAGTGGCGGAGCTGATCCTCTAGCCTCCTTCGCAGGAGGTCTGACTGGGCGTGGTCGTCTGGCTGTGTGTGTTGGTGCGTGTGTTCTGTAGAGGTACCATCCCTGTCATGATCGTCCTAAGATCAATTACTTATAGTAATTAAAGTTCTCAATCAAATGAGGAGCGGATGAGGGTCTAAATGCTATATACAGAGGGAGGGAGTCAGAGAGGTCGGGGGGAGAGAGAGGTTAGAGGGAGAGAGAAAGAGAGAGAGGAAAGAGAGGGATGGAGAGACAGAAGAGGATTGTGAGAGAGGAAGGGCGCTGAGGGTGAGAGTGTGAGAGAGAGGGTGACCAAGTCAACGAGATTCAGAAGATAAGATAGAGAGATAAGAGAGAGAAAGGAGGAGATGGAGAGAGGAAAAGCGAGAGAGGAGAAGAGGAGGAGAGAGGGAGGAGGAAGACGAGAGGAGGAGAAGGAGGAGAGAGGGATGAGGGAGGAGAAAGAGAGGGAGAGAGAGAGAGGAGGGGAGGAGACAGAAAGGGAGGGAGGAGAGGGGAGAGAGAGGAGGAGGGAGACAGGAGGAGAGAGGGAGCAGAGGGAGGAGAATGAGGGAGGAGGGAGGAGGAGACAGAGGGAGGAGAGATGGGGAGAGAGGGGCAGGAGGAGAAAGAGGGAGGGAGATGGGGAGAGAGGGGAGAGGAGACAGAGGGAGGGAGATAGGGGAGAGAGGGGAGGAGGAGAAAGGGAGGAGAGATGGGGAGAGAGGGGAGGAGGAGACAGAGGGAGGATGAGAGAGGGGAGGAGGAGACAGGAGGAGAAGATGGGGAGAGAGGGGAGGAGGACAGAGGGGGGAGGAGAGGGGAGGAGGAGACAGAGGGAGGAGAGATGGGGAGAGAGGGGAGGAGGAGACAGAGGGAGGAGAGATGGGGAGAGAGGGGAGGAGAGACAGAGGGAGGAGATTGGATGGAGAGAGGGGGGAGGATGAGGACAGAGGGAGGAGAGATGGGGGGAGGAGGGGAGGAGGAGACAGAGGGAGGAGAGCGAGAGAAAGATAAGAGAGCTTGAGGGAGGGAGGGAGGGAGGTGAGAGATGGAGAGGGAAAGATGGAGAGTGAGACAAGGAGAAGAGAGATGGAGAGAGGGAGAGACGGAGAGATGGAGGAGAAAGATGGAGAGAGGGAGGGAGGAGAAAGATGGAGAGAGGGAGAGAAGCAGAGATGGGGAGAGGCAGAGGGAGAGAGAGATTTTGATGTTTTAAAAACCTTTATTTGGCCCAAATACTTAATTCATTAAAACAAACTTTATTTTATTTTAACAGACTAGAAAGTTAAAATATTATAGAAAAACTCAACTGAACATGTCTTGATGAAAATGGAAAGAATAAATCTATGTTTTATGAGAGCGCGATAAGATCTGTATCATTGAGTGATGGTGTGTTTGCTGAACTGTCTGTCTGTATCGGTTGGTGTTACTAGAATCTATTTGGGGAGGCTAAATGAAAAATGACGTGTTTCTGTTTGCTTAGCGCTGGTCCCTTTCTCTCATGCTTCACTGGGGTCTTACACGGGTTCTGACCTAGCAGTTGACCTCCCTGCATTCAATTAGTGAGAAGAGCCCCAGCTCCGCCCCTAATAGCATCCTATTCCCTACATAGTGCACTACTTTTGACCAGGTCCCATAGGGCGCTAGTAGAGCACTATACAGGGAATAGGGTGCCATTTTGGATGCATCCACAACGTGTACCAACAGGTATGACGCAACAAGTCATTTCAGCGGCAGGAAGTGATCAGTCAAAGCTGATGGTACGTAACATATGAGGGAAAAACAACAAGATGGAAGACCAACAGGACCACGTCGCCCACTTCACGCCAGGACCAATCATCTAGCCGCTCACACACTCCCAGGGAATATATTACAACCAGGAACACAGCGGTGTAATTTCAGGTTGTAATTTTGCCGTGTTTGTGGGTGTCCACACGTTTCCCTGACCCCTAGCCTGTCTCTGACTTCGCTAGTTGAGCAGGAATGCCCCTTTATTTGTCCAGGAGGAAGGATTCTGTTTCCCCCCCCCCCAAAAAAAAATACCTCTCCACTTCATCACTCCATCTATCCCTCAACAAGAGATAAAACATGTAAACAGAGGAATGAATGACACAAGTGTGTTGTCCATTCATTAAATCATACCTCCCTGGCTTGGCTTACACAACCAATAGCAGATTTATGTATATCCCCTGCTAATAGGCTGTCAGTGCAAGGGGAATGCATGACCTTTACCACATTACTACATGGGACTAAGGATAATGATGTAAATGATGTCATCCATTTGCCACGTTAAGTAGTTACACAGCTTTTTCTAACGAGACATCCCTCAAAAAGCCATTAGATGTTAACTGTGTACTACATTGCGCACGACAGGACTGCTGACTTATAAAAAGGTGCCAGTTGTTCACAGTGGGACATGTGTGAAGATGTGTCGTAGCTTGCTGGAGCATGACATAAAAGTAGCAGCAGCATCCCCAACTCCTCGGGGTAGCCTAGGATGGTCATAGGGATGTTCGGGCAAATGCCAGATGGGCTGGTCCATTCTAAGCCCACTGGGCCTGTCTTAATTTATGTTTAAATAATGGGGGTCTCGAGGGAAGAAATGGGCCGGTGTGGGTGAAAAAAATGCTTGCGTGTTAGAAATGCCAGGGACAATTTCTGATCCCAGTCCGCCCCTTCCAACTCCCTTCCCTGATCTGTTCTAGTGTCAGTCTTTGGCCCCAGAACACACGTACATTCACAGTGTTCTTTATGACAGACTAGTCAAAGGGCAGATTCTGTCAACTTGTGGAGGTTCTTAGAACCTTCTCTCTGTTCTGACCACTCCAAAACACTGACGTCAGCCACATTGTCACAGGAAATGGATTGGAACATTTTTTACGTGAACTGAGGCTATTTTTCCATTATACTTTGGGTTCTGATGGGGTGTGACATTTGAACTTTTAGTCCATGAGGCATTTCTAAGTTAGATTCTTCAAGAATCATGGGTATACAGTCAGGTAGAAAATTATTGGCACCCTTGATAAAGATTAGCAAAAAAGACTATAAAATACATAATACATATTGTATGCTCCAAAAATGTGGGAAATTATATTATTTTATACCATTCCCTCCATACAGAATCTTTCCAGATCCTTGATATCCTTCGGACTGACCTCTTCAATTAAAATCTATACTCAGGTGGTGTGGGGGCTGTACTTTTGCAAAGAGGGGTGGGGCTGCCTCCGGACAGGGCCACAGTGTCCCCAGACCTGACAGGGTCACAGTGTGGTCCCCCCGTCTCAGCCTCCAGCATCTATGCGCATCTAACTTTTTCACTATTGGGTATTCAGTGTTCTCACTATCACTAAGCACGTATAGGGGTGGTGTGATCGTTGAGGTTGTTTTTCCTCGAGGGCGCAACCAGCGGTTGGGGCTGGTTGCAATGGCCACTCGCGGAGGTTTGGGGTATGAAAAACTTAGTCGGCAGCATGGGGTAAAGATTCCTGCTGCGGCCGGGTGTTCAGTGGAAGAATGTAGCTTGGCAGTGGGGTGCTATTATTGGGTATGATAGCATCAAATCAGCCTCAAGGATGAATAGCGCCGTAGTGATATTCTTAGATTCCATTGAAAAGGTGAATATGATAGTTGAGAGTGGTGTTGTGTTGCGGGAGACGCAGACGCCGGTATTTCCTCTTATGAATCCGGCGAAGAAAGTTATACTTTCTAACGTGCCACCATTTGTTAGAGATGAAGTGTTGGAGCGAGAGTTCTCATCATGGTCAACTTGGATCTACAATTTTTAAAAAAGCTTCTTTTTGGATGCAAATCGCCTTTGCTGA